TATTATGTTATTATATTATTTTCAATACATTTAACATGTACCTATAATTTTGTATATAAATACATATATATATATTTTGTATCTACAATAATTTTTAATCCTAGAAAGGTACCTATTTAATTTAGTAGTTTGTTGATTATTTTCAATAAAATATGTAACATGTAATGCTAATATCCTATAGGGCAAGGCTATGTACTTATAAATACCTATACGACAAAAGACTGAATTTAAATCAAATATTAATTTGGAGACTATTTTTCCGGTAAGACTTTCCTGGACCTTTTTTTCCGGGGGCTTTTTTTTCCTAATATCCCTGAACTCGACGGGTCATTATAATATTATTTAGTATCTATCCCAAGGTACCTAATGTAATATCATAATTCAATAGTTCATAGTATATTATGTAATAAACACTCAAATTGTATTCTTTTGATGAGATGAACGTCGAATAAATTTAGCCCATCCCTTAATTATTTACTCGACACCCCACTGTTGCTTCATGCTAGCAGCATAATATTATTATTTATTTTTATTTCGTAAATGTTTAAAAACAAAAATTGGGCGCAAAGACATACAACTACACAAACGCCTAATATTATCGTGGAATCGAAAATTATTAAAACTATTTGAGGTTATGTAACATAAACGCACATTGTGCAGAATGTGCCATATTATTAATTATTATTCACTATTCAGTGATTGTGCGGCACGAGTTGTGATAGGCGGTTGCTGATTGAGTCGTGTGTTCCTATTATTTGAAATTGAATAATTTTTAATTTTACTTAGGTAGTTATGATTGATTCGTTCTAAGGTTGCAAATTCTAATACATTTTATTGCTTTGAGTAGATACAGTTTATATTGTTTGGAATTATAATCTCAAAATGGCGGAGTTTGTACAACGACGCAAAGAAGAATTGATTGTTGAAGTTCCAGTACTTCATAGTCACTTCAAGAAATCTGCAGTGAAGTAATAATATTTTATGAAACTTCAATGCCAATTAAATATTTTCTACCATTTGATTCATGTTACATACTATTAATCTAAATTGTTTGTATGCTTAAGTTTCCGTGCTATGTTTACAGAAATATATTGAATCAAAGAGAAAAATTTGAGTATAGATTGATGCGTCGAAACAAACAAAAGTCAGACTTTACTCTTTATATTACATTCTTGAAGTCAATCATCAAGAAAGTTAAAAAAGTAATAACGTACAACAATAATTCTAAAATTTGACTATCTTTGTAATATTATTATGTAATTTGCTATAATAGATGGGTTCAACAAATACTGAATCACTTAAGCTCATTAATCAGCATAATAACCGAATCATAGACCTTTATCGTGCGTCTCTAAAATATTTCAAAGATGATGTATCGCTTTGGAAAGAATACATAAAATTCCTGATGAAATGTGTAAGTAAAGACATTTTGTACTTTTTATTATAATTTACTCTACCTAATCTTAACGGATATACATTTAAAATATCAAAATGTATTAGGATTATTTAATATTTTAATTTATGGAACACAATAATTAACAACTTCTATTCACACCTGTCTTACTAGTTAATAACTATTAGAGTACTTAATGGTGAATTGACAATAGATTACTTCTTGTCAATTGAAAAATTTCTACTTTATTGAATTGCAATAACTTGAGACATTTTATTTTCTATTTTTTAGGATAAAGTAGCTTTGTTACGGACAGTTATAAACAGCGCCTTGTTATTACATGGTCACATTTCAGATTCACTTTACGTTTTTGCAGTAAAACAAGAATTTGAAGATTTAAAAAATATCCAAAAAGCTAGAGAATTGTATACTGATGGATTAAATGCACATAAAACTTCGTCAAAATTATATTTTGAAGCCTTTAAATGCGAACTTTCCTATTCAGAAATACTCACTCAAAAGGTTTTGAAATCTGGTAATATCTAGTTTAATTTTATACTATAATATTTTAATTGATAACTTAAATAAAATATATATTGAAAATAATGTAATAACACTAATGACTAATATTTTTTTTTTGACAGGAAAAGAGTTAAACCCAGAGGATCCTGCATTAAATGGATCTGTTGCCAATGTAATTTTTGAATCAGCTACCGAAAATGTGAAAAATGATCACAATCTTTACTTCAAAATGTACCAAGAAGCTATTCAACATAATTTTTCAATAGGTTTATCCGAAGAAATTAAAAAGTAATATTTTAATCTATAACTAAAATAAGTTTAGTTAGGTACTTATTATAAATTTAACTTTTATTTTTAATACTAAGTTTTAAGAAAATGTTTGATATTTGTTGTCCCTATTTATATCAAACACTCATTATAGAATAGCCTCTCTTTTTATTTCCCATTGTGTAGCTAAACTCTTCAGACTAGGTAGATTATGTCATTGTCATGGTACAAAATTGGTTACCTAAGAAGTGACCTGCTTTTTTTTTTGTAAACGTTCACTTACATTATTTTCTAGCCTTTTAAAGTGTAATTTGAATCATATAACTCGAAAAAAAATTTTCAAATGTGAATTAATTTGTTTTTTCTCTTAGATTCAAGTTATTGAAATTAAACTGTATTTAAAAATTAAAAGTATCATTCCAGTTAGTCTACACTCAGTTGTTCCGCTTATTAACCAAATTTTTAATCCAATAAATAATAACTTAAATATCTAAATATTCTTTGGATAAAAGTACTTTTATTTAAACACTGTACATAGTTAAAATAACTCCTTGCAAATAGTTGAGAAGCTGCTTCTGCAGTTGCTAAATTACTTAGAAGAGATTTTACAAGTATAATTTTTTTGATATACACAAGTTAAAATAACATCAGTGCATTATTAAATGGCATTAAGTACATTATTCGAAACTTATGCAATTAAAATATAGAAATACAGTCCATGTCTATAACATTCTTCGGGGCAACAAAGTTTCAGTGGCGTACACAGCCATTTTAAATGTAAATTACATCCTGAACTACAATTTAAAAAAAGGGGTGGGGGTGAACTTTCAATTTACTAGCTCAAATATATACTTGAAATTTTTAAGTGTATAAAAAATGCAAATATAAACATTCAGTAAAAATTGTATGTATCTAGGGTTATTTTTTTATATAAAAAAAAAATTAAGAATGTATTAAGGAGTAATTATAATACATAGATAGCAATTTAATATTATTTTTTGTATGTAAGCATCTCGTACTCGCATGTGTAATGTGACATTTGTTTATTAAATCTCCATAAATATTTTCAAATTTTAAGACTAGTGTGAAGAAATCTTAGAATTTTTATTATAATATTAAACAATTAAAATTGAGTTTTATTATTATAAATATACATATTTGTGTTCATCAGATTCAATATTAGACTGATATTTATGTATTATTTCAATCATAGAAGTAAGAACAAGTAGTGTAGTTTTTTAGAATATTTTGATTTTTAATCAAGTCATGAACAATTTTATACCAATTGTTGGTTCCAAAATGTTGATATTGTAAAACCCAATTTATGACACAAATAATGTTCTAATCCTTAAGTTTGATTATAAATAAATTTACTTAAATATTATAGTTAACAGCACAAAATTAATTTTGTTTTTTTTGTAACATTGTATTTTTCACAGTTTTATGTTGATTACATTTAGCAAGGATTCAAATTATTGGGATACTCTTGCTACAAATGAACTGTTGAGTAAATCTACCAACACAGAAAAATTTAAAATAACGTAAGAACTTAATTATTAATTATTAATGCCTAATTAATCTTTATTCATCTGTATTTTTTTCAGAAAATGTCTTGATATATATAACAATGCAATTACAGTACTTGATACAGACGAAATGTGGGACAAGTATTTGACCACTATTTTAAAAGTTACATCTGATACACAAAAAACAGAAGTTTATAAAAGAAACTTACTCAGACAATCTATGTTTAACGCCCACAAAAAAAATAAATTGAAACCAATTCATTATATTGAATGGGTAAGAAATTTGAATTCTGTTTTTTTTAATGAAACTTCAATTTTCTTACTATTCTTTCACCTTTATTATTTAGATGAATAAGTCAACATGTTCCATGACCAATGAAATTTTGAATTTGGCCATCGAAACATATCCAAATGATACAAGTATCATAGAAATGAATATAAAAAAGAAATTGAACGATACAGATGAACTAAAAGCTTACAATTTATTTAAATACAATGCCACTAAAGTTTCTCCCAGTATTTGGCTTAGAGTTGTTGATTATTTCTTAAATAAACCACAGATAACTGAGGTTTTCAATATGATATTTGGAAATGAAGCTGTTTGTACTAATGAAGTTAAACAAAAACTTGGAAATGAATATTTGTTGTGGTTAAGCAAAAACAAGTCATTGGACGATGCTCGAAATGCTTACAACAAATTAATCACCAATAGCAGTTGTGATGCAAGTCTATGCAAAACTTTAGTAACTTTGGAAACCGAACAAGAAAAAATAGACATCAGCAAGATCAGGCAACATTTTACATTAGCATGCATGCAGTTTGGTAAAACCGATATTGGTTAGTTAACACTATCTAGTTGTTTTTGTTTTATCATTGCTAGCATATTTGAAAAAAAAATTTTTTTTGCTTAGATTTGTGGATGGAACGAATTTACTTTGAGCTAAAGTATGGGTCACCAAAACTTGTTTCTAATACTTACCATCAAGCTTTAACAACTTTGAATAACGAGGAGTCTGATCAATTTGTTGAACAATATCCATCAAGAATTTCTACATTTAATAAAACTAGTAAATTATAATGATTACATAGTACTTACATTGACTAAAGATTATATAAGACACAAAATTATAGTTTAAAGACAACTCATTAAAATGAGTTATTTTTATAAGCGTTGATATGGAGTTCTTTTATGAATTCCATGATTTTCCATTTGTATTTTATCAGAATTTTTTTTTCAATAACTGTATGCGCCATCTGAAATTTAATTTACATTTAAATCGTCGACCAATTTAATACACAAATATTTTTATTTATACTGTATTACCTGTTAAATATATAAGCACAGCACCAAGTACCAACACATAAACTTGAAATAAGTATTGTACAAATTAAAATGATTGTATTTGGTGATCTATTTCGGAATAATATTTTTATAACAGGATCTTGCATTATTTGGGTCCATCTGGTTGATGGTCCAATCACTTTAAATATTAAACAATGGTTTGTATTTATAGATACATTATTATTATAAAACAGATTTTACAAACCTTTAATTTCTATTACATTTGTGACCCAAGTACTATTCATTTCTGTGCTCTTGACAACACATTTCCAAATGCCTTGAAAATGTATATTTTCTATCGTTATTGTATCCACATCAATCTACAAAATCCACCAGATTGAATAAAATTTTTATGTCATGTTTAAATCATAAAAATGATTTTAATACCGATGCAAGAGAATTAACTCCATAATTTTTCATCACATAACTATCATTTACGATCCATTCTTGTGACAACTCGTTAAATAAATAACTCAGTGTTGCTGCATTACATTTCACTCTAACTACATCTCCAATGTATACAGATATGGGTTTGTCATTTATAGCCACAGCTAACAGTTTCAACACAATTCTTTTAGATTCCAGCGGCTGTGCCACAAACGCATATACTCCTGAATCACGAATTGTACACGAGCTTATGACTGAAATGGACGCACAAAAAGTCATTTCACTGTAGGTCATAGAGTATGAATATTTGAGTACAAATGTAAGAGCTATATGTATAAAATATATATTTCTAACGCCTTAACCTTACTGCATTGTTATTTGTTGTTAATATAGGCGTATAGTAAATAGCATGTTTCACATTCATTTGAATTTACATTATGTGGCACAGGGGTGTAAGGCGATTTTGCCCGTTCTATTTTTTTATCTGCAAAAAACGCAATACAGATGTGCTCCGTGATATATATTGCCTTTCTAACAATTTTCCAATACACTTTAGAAATACAGTGGACGTGATGACTCAAAGTTCGACATCGACTTTTAATACATGACATTTTGTCATATTTTTTGCACAAACGTATTTTTCCAATATAATAAGTAGAATGTAGGTATAACATAAAGACATACAATTTTACCATTATACTCAACATTTCTTATTCCTTAAAATAACAAAAAAATTGCAATAATTCGTAAATTTTGTATTGCACAGAAATTGCTTATATAAACATTCAGTGAAAATGTCATGTATCTAGTTTTATTTAGTGTGTACAGGAATTTATTTAGTATACACATATACAAATAATTATAATATTTAAAAAAAAATATTGTAAAATCAATAGTCATTACAACCATCACTACACTTCGGAATTTAAAATGTGAAAATAGTTTATAATTCCATGTATTAGTAGGTACAGTCAAACTTGGTTAACTCAATATTTTAACCCGTATATTTTTAAATAGTGTATTGCAGAATTGTTAGAAGGACAAGACCTATATTTCATGGTACGTAGTCGTATTTCGTTTTTTGTAAGTAAAAAGGTATTACGAGCGCAATCGTGTTTCACTGGAGACATAGTTGAATAAATTCCCGATTAAATGGGTATTTACCTACTTTTTTGAAACAAAACTATATTGATATTATAATAAGTAATCACTCGAATATATATGTATAATGTTTATAACGCATATAATTATTATAATATAAAGAAGAGTATCGAAAGCAAAGCAACTTGTTGCGCTCATATCGAGGTGTACATTGAATTGCCTACTTGTTCAAATTCAGGGAGTAAACTAATATATTCGAAAATTCAAAACAGCATTTGCAACTTACGCGTATTCTTACTTAGTAATTACATATTACTTAAATATTTGATGCTGATAAAATTTAGTTAGATACAGCTTAAATACAGAAATGGAAATTTGATGAATAGCGTCATGTGTAACTTGAAAAAATAAATAACTGGGGTGATATCACCTTTCAGTGATGGTCGAATGATTTTGTCATCAAATATATTTGTGGTTAATTTTATAAACATTGAAAAGAGGACCATATGGTGAGGTGGAGGGATATATCCCACAGTAGTCCACCACTGTCGCATATTGAAATTCATACATTTCAAATTTTAATAATCATATCGAAAACCAATTAGTAGCAGTTACGGTGAAAAATGGGAAGAAACTATACAACTCACAGATCGACGAACATTACTGTAACATAATTTATAATATTTTCCTTTACCCAAAGTGCATCTGTTGTCGTCGTCTGCGACCGTCGACGTCACGGTCTTACCGTTTCGCAGCCAATCAAACCGGGTGCTCGGCGAATCGGCCAGGACGGCGTCCACGGTCGACCGGTCGCACATCACTGTCAACCGGTCGCCGACAGTGGCCACCGCGTTATGCGTTCGGCCTGCCAGCAACTTTCGTACCGCCGCCGCCGTCTTGTCGGACACCTGTCCGCACTCGTGTAGGTTGCACGCGCCGACCGCCGTGGCCGGCCCTAGGCACGGTCTGCCTGCCACGTTTGGCCTGGGACTGTCGCACCGCCTGCTCCGCACTCCCGTCCCGCCACCGCAAGATTTCGTGCACCGCTCCCACTCGCCCCAACCGCCCCATTTCCCGTCGCGGGGCGGACCGTCCACGTCCGGCAGCCGCCTCCACGGTTCGTCGCAGTTCGCCGTCCACTCGGTCCGACCGCCGCCCCGGTTGGCCACCGACAAATAACGGACTAACAGCGGCCGCTCTAGGTCCACGATCCAATGTCGCTCATGAATGCCTCCACAGTTCATTTGCAACACGCTCTCGTTCCAACTGCACAATAGTTTAATTAGCCAAATATTAAAACATAAGCATATTACTATGTAGTTATATAGCATTATAGTAATGTAGTTATCATATTAAGTGGTTTTTGGCAAGTTTCTTTTAAGAAGGAATTCGTTTAGGTCCAAATGAAACGAATTTCTGCTTATTTAATCATCAATGTTTTTTTTTTCATATATAAACTTGGGTATTTAACTTTTTAATTATACCTACTTATACGCATTTATAATTTATTATTTAATTTAAAAATATAATATTGTCTATTGAATATATTATTTTCTTTTATTCGTGTACATTTATTATTTTTTAATCAGTATAAATTAATATTATAACTACTATACTATTATTATACTATACTTGATAAAGATCACTAATTGGCAATATACACACTGAGAAAAAAATTTTAATTAAATTATTTACATATCTTATACCTATGTACTTAGATTAGAACTCAATATTTTTCTTTAGAATTTGTTCATTTCCTAGTTCTTTTTTTATGAAAAGGAATTCCTTCCAGAAATCTGTTCCTATTTTGAAACTCGTTCCTTCGACTACACTGATATTAATAAGTTATATTAAGTAATAGGTGGATAGTGTAAACGTTGCACTGTCATGATGTTTAGCGATACCTAAAACGAGAAAAGGGGCAAGGGCCTAGTGTGGTAGTATAATGGCCAAATGAGGGAGATCCCCATGACCTTTTTTTTAATGTTTAAGATCTGATAATCATAAATTATATTTTAAATACTCAAAATTCAAATAGTGCATGATAAAAAACATCCCCCTCTCCCATGACAAGATCATTTTTTTGACCATCGCTGCTAATGGATGCCATTTGGGTACTAAAAATGTATGATTTATATTAGTATTGTATAGTATTTAGAATATTGGATATTTGTATTATAGTCGACTTGGTTAACTCGAAATCGTTGATACCTCTAACTTTTCCCCCGTTATAAGAATTTCTTATTATTTTATAATCTTTGAAAGTATAAATCATACTTTTTGACTAGTCACTTCAACTCTGAGTTAACTAAGTCTCACTGTATTATTATTATTACATAATATTTTTTAAATATTAGGCAAGACGTAGGCATAGCCGCATAGGTAGGTATGTCCATAAGTACCCATATCTGAAAATGCAAAAGAAAAATAGTAAATCTTATTTTGTTACGATCTCCGTGTGGATATTGCAAGCGATCAAAGACGACTAGGTTAAGCGAGACAGCTCGGCGGGTCGTACAATATCGTTTACGCACTTTGCAACATTGAAATGATTTTAGGTGAAAAATATTTAACCACTCGTTAAGCGTGAAGTCTATAGTGCTAAGTCCAACCTCAAAAGGATTCTGGTCCAATTGCCGTTCGTCAATATTGCATCGGATTCGGACTCGTACTCTCCGAGCGATTTCTTCGGCCGCTTCCCTTCGAGCCACAACACCGCCCGTCTACCACCGATTTCTAGTAAGAGTCGTTCGCTAAGCACCCGACCCGTTAATGCGATACATGTGACCCCTGCCACAAACAAAATGACATATCACCCTGAGTTATAAATATTGAACAGCCCAAGTGGATAGGAAGTAATCTAAGAGTAATATACTAATACAATGTATACATATTAAGGTGTTTTTAGTGGTGATCACAACGTTCGTTACCTCCCCCCCTACTTACAATAAGCTCTCCCAAAATATATTTAATTTATATTATCTAAATAATTGATTAAGTATTAGGTCACTTAGATAGATTTTAGTTGATTAGGTACCTGCAGTGTGTTTATATGGTATATAAACACACTGCAGAAATTGATTTCAAGCAGCGTAGGTATCACTATGAAATGATAATAATTTAAAAAAATAAAAACATCTCACCTAGTCACCTCCCTTAACCTGCATGCCGCCGCTCAAAATAGCTAAATAGATATTTTGTGGGCAAACGAAATAAAACAAAAATGAAATTGAAAATGGCCTATTTTATATACTATTATACTTTTTTTTTCCTTTCAAAAAACCGGAAACGGGTGGGAACTGTTTAGCACAATACTACCACCCGATTCCGTGCATACACTATTATACCTATTTATACCTGTATGTTTCACGTGGAAAATGATTTCGGGCTTGGCCTTCGTCAGACTGGAGTTCGACCGGACGTTTATCGGCAAGTAAACGGATAAATTATGGGACTCGGAACTATGAATGAGACAATCTATGACAAAATATTATGACATTAGACAATGGTATAGTGAACAAAATACATAGACATTAAGACATAGGTAATGTACCATCATGCTATAATAATAATAATGCGTACGTAACAATTTCATTTAAATTGCTTTCGATCTAGTATGAGTAACTATACAAATCTATTTAAAAATATTCGATATTATACTGTTTTTTGAAATTGTTTTTGAAACTGTAATACTTAGATGAAACCTGATAATAATATTATGTTTAAATGTTATAGACTTACCTATACAACAAAACAAAACAATTGTTATATTAATTTTTTTAATTTGATATCGCAACCACCGCCTCCCGGTCCACATTTGTTTGATAACAATTTTCTCCAATTTTTACACATACTTAGAAGTTTCGGTAAAATACACCTATCTGTGGTAGGATTGTAGGAATATATAACGTACCTTCTTCGGTCGGGAACCGAGTGGCCACGTAACCACGGTCGGTTATCGTGGATAGTCCTACGAACGCGATGCGTCCACCGTTCCCGTTGGTGCTGTTGCTAAGTGCCCAACTGAATATCTCTCCGCCGGCAGCGGAGCTCATCGTCACGGTCCGAGCGGCCGCGGTTTGGCCGTCTCCGCCGAGGCTGTCGTCCCCAAACCGAAACAGCAACTCCGTCCACCGGCTGGCCATCAACAGATGCGGGTACACGATCTCGTCGTCGGCAGCCGCCGTGGCCGACTGCGACTCTCCAGCTCCGTTCCCACCCTTCACCCGGTACAACTTGATCTTTTCGTCGCCATCCGCGCCCACTTGGATCAGATCGTACGACGATGGGCGACCGGAGCGCCGGAAGTACAGCGATACACCCTCGTAGACGCCCGGCGTCCACCGCTTGAGCCGGATTCGCAGGCCCGACTGGCCCCTCCAATCGGGCAACACGTGCATCCAGTGGACGCCGCCGCCGCCGATCAGCAGCGTGTCTGAATCGTCGCCGTCGTCCGAACACCCGGGCACGTCGCACGAGTCTGTCTTGGCGGCGCCGCTGACGTGACACCAAGCGCCCGTCGGCTCTCTAGTTGGGTTCCGGCAGTAGTTGGACGCTCCCGACACCGATTTGTCGGGGAACGCGTAACCCGCACCGGTGTGCGACGCCTGCAATATCAAGAAGAGCCACCTCTTAGGTCGGTAAACGTTAGTCTTTCGCTATCATAGTAACCGTTGCCGCCGTGGGTTACCTAACGCGGTTCTATAACCTATAACCAAATCCAAAACCTGACTTCTATATTATACATTCTAATTTATGTGCATAATATGGCACTAGCTGTTGCCTATTTCAAAAGAAAGTCGAAATTAATCACACTTAGCAGTGATCCTTATACGCAATTCGATTAAATATTCAAAAACGTGCAGTTACCTACCCATTTCAAGCATGTGCGGTTGGACACGGTCTTGTTGAGCTTGCCCACGTAGTCGGTCGCGATTCCGGCCACGCTGCATTCTGTAAAAAACCAAAACGCGTTACTACAAGATACATTATATTATATTTATTACGAAGAGCATGTTGCTGCTGCGATCAACAATCGAATCTGGATCATGAAAGTCATGGAAATACGCAACTGTTTTATTATAATAATATGATTTTCTTTTAATCCAAAAAAGCACTCATTCGCCCGATGTTTAAAATCGAGACTACCAAAAACACATTATAGGTAGAACCTATATAATATTATCACCCGATCAATATGATCATCCTAACATTCTTAACACTGTTATTAGGTCCAAGGCTATATAACAGGTAGTTTTTTATTTACCGTTGCACCGATACCTATACAACTATTGTTTTAATAAACATTTTTTTTTTTGAAAAACTGATTATATCATTGAATATGACAATCGTGGGTGTATTATATTGATATTATGTGCTAACAGTTTTTGGAAACATTGTTGGGGTGAGTATGCCAACCGGAACGCGGCCAGGCGGGCTGGTATATAATATATAACTATATATTATTATGTCATTATAGTGATATAATTATTATTCTCTTCAAAAAAATAGAGAACAATTTTTTATTGATTGATAGACCTAACCCGATTGTATGAATGTATTTAGCTTGATTTTTTTTTACTAAGCGTTGGCCCGGTACTCACTTGTATTTCGACACTTCCGGACGTGACACGATCGTTTTTCGACGGCAGAGTTCTTCCGGTCACCGACGGCCACGTAACAATACGGACCCTTCGGATCTTTAGTCGGATTCCGGCAATAGTTTTTGGCTTTTACGTAACTCTGATCTATCAATGCACTCTCCTTAACCGACTTACCGACGGAAATAGGGTTTTTATTTTTAGCAAAAATGTGTATATTATGTTTTAATGTTACTTATTATATTATATTTATTTATATCCTATACTGGCCCGTTTTATTTTCGAGCTGAATTTCAAACTCACTGTGCGCACCGACGAAATGTTCCAAGGGACGCATGGATCTCCGTCTCCTGTGATCCACTGAGTTCCACGATAGTTTTCTCCCGATTCTGATATCACGCACTCAGGCAACGCCGCCTCGGGGAGCGGGTACACTGTAAAAAATGAAACAATTTGTGTCGATTTTTTTTTTTTAAGTTATACCTATTCGATAAAAAATGTAATCGAATTTGACGAGCTTTTCAGCTGGCCGTCCTCGATATTTATCGTATCTACAGCTTATTCACAGCTACATAATATCGATATTAAAAATATTATTTCGCTTAATTTATTGCGAAGATCATAATAAACATTGTCATAATAGTCATTGAAATAATCTCTATTAATTATCACAGAAATGTATAGCATATTATGCAGTTTAAAATGTTTAAATTAACCATTGAATATGTAGTAGTGCAGTCTTTGCAAATAAGTACACTGCAGTTTAAGTGCAATAAGAAAACGTTGTTTAATAAAATGCGTACCTATTATAAAGTGTTTTAGAGGAATGTTGAAAAAAGCCCCCCGTCGAGAGCACAACCTATTTGAAATTAAGTATTGAGATAACGTAGTATTTTTTTTATCGTCAGTTCAAAATATCGCGACACTATTTGCGCTTTAAGCTTCTCGGAGGATAATAACAATCGATTTTTAATAGATTTATGGGAATGCGGCGAAGTTAAGTGTACCGTCGATCATTCAATCAATAATCCGTACACTGCCTGTGATTCCAACTAAAAATCTTAGGTTATAAAAATGTCTATAAGTGTGAATAATATATATATACATACATTCTGGCCCGCTGCAATACAACGTCCAGTGGGCGATGGTTTTTGATCCGATGGCGAACCAATGGAATAACCTCAACTTGAAGTCACTTATGTTCAACATTATCGTCGGATTCTTTTCGCGTTCGTTTGTAACTTGTATTTGTAATGTTTTGTCTGCGATTCTAAAAACAAAATCCTATGCTGAATACATACTATGGGTACACGTCTACACGCGTCTATAAATTAATAATTATATATAACAGTTTTTTTTTTATTATGTTGAATGTTGCAACATTTAATTTTACTTACAAAAGTTTTAATTTCATCTTCGTGAGCAGAATATTATTCTAAGTATTTTGATACATAAAATCGAATTTAGGATGAGTAAGTTATGAGTTATACGTATTTAAAGTTTAGATGAATAGAGTAGTGGACCAACATTTTGTAGAGTAACCGTGTGGCGTGTACGACTTCACTATGTTCATCTAAACTTTAAATATATTTTATAAGTTATAACTCATAAACTACTGGTCTTAGATTCTATTTTTATGTATCAAAATACTTAGAAAAATATTCTGCTTATTTGGGCTTTGGAGTATGAAATTAAATATGTATGTTTTGATCCAAAAAGGTAAAAAGACCTAAAAAATGTCGATAGAATATTATTTTAAAAATCACTAGAAACCATGTAAAAAATTGTTTTTTAAAAACATTTGTACTTTTTGAAATTATGAGTGATCAATGATAAAATAATCACCCCGTACAGAATAATGATTGAAATATCAATAGTAATAATTTTAATAACCTATACTTTTACTAACATTTAATATATACAAAGTGATATATAATATGTATGTATATATATATTTAAATATTTAACTGCTTAAAGCTGTATACGGTATGAGTATTTAGAAATTCCTTTTTAAGAAGATAATGTTTCTAAATGATTCCGTTTTATGAAATTGTAAAAATAGAAAATACTATAAATTAAATACGTAATCTTGTATTGGTGCCATTTCCAATAAGATATTATGTCCGTTTCATACGACTGATTAAAAATCATTTGTTCTTCACTATTCGGTTTTTCTATGTAAATGATTTTTATTTGCTGGACAGGCCGAGCTGCAAAAGTTATCTGAGATAAAACAAAAAACAAAAAATTGTTAAATATCTTTTATTTTATAGTTATTATTCTAGTATCAAATATGATATATGTTTGCTCTACAGTAGGTACTTCTGGTACCTATATAATTATATAAATACTTAACAGACAACGACAAACGAGAAACAATAATTAATTTCGAAATAACTACTTAAAAACTATTGTACCATACTACCATCATATTATTTTTATACATTTTTATAAATACTTTTATAATGAAAAATAAATAATAAATAATTATTCATAAAAATTATGAACTTATGCTGAGTTTAAGTGTGTGATATACATTGTACACCATTAATGACTCAAATTTCTTTTAATTTAACAAAAAGTAGTAAATTATGGTTAGTAATATTACGGAAAGTATAAAAATTAAATGTAAAATTAATGTTTCCAAAGTTGGGTTTGTCGGCACACTTAAATTGTAACTTTCAATTATAATAAAAATAAGTCTTAACTAACAATTAGACGCGGCGTTTGCCTTGTTGGTGCCGTGTAGTAGGTGACGGACGCCGAAATCACAGCCCGGACGGAAAACGACAATTCGGAAGTGGATACAATGGTTTTCTTCAACGGGAACATCCTGTAGGCGTCTTGGCTATTGGTCAAGTGCTCTTCTTGTCCTACGAAACCAAAAAGACAATGCACTCCGCTACAGCAATGCACTCGTGAGGCTAGGTTATGGGAACGTGCTCGCGAAATGCGTTTCTAAGTCTAATATAATATAATAAAATGTACACGATACGGTCAGTGGCGAATTCGAAAGATTTGCCGCTATAAGGGAACCAATAATTAAATGGGGTATTAATAAAGCCGGATTCACAGCTATACGTCGTGGGTCGAGTCCTGCGAAGTCGTGGTACCTATGGTCACAACTGGTTACCATATTGGTTTAAATAATGAGCTGTGGTCAGTTCTTGGCATACCCGGTTGCAATACTTGGTTATGATATATGATCCAAAAAAAGTAACGTTCAATCACAATGCGATTTGATCGACACCACACGACGTAGCTGTGAATCCGGAATATCGACGATGACTGATTATCGTTCAATTTATAAACAAGTTTAGCTCACTAGGCACTACTCACTGATTACCGATCCGGTATCTCGGTATATCGATATATATAGGTAACAGAAAATTAATTGATTATTATATTAATCAATCACAGCCACCACTGCGGCGAAGGATCACACTAAGCGAAATATTTACCGGCCGTTCGCAAGTCGCAGTCTGCAAATCGTACGGCCACCGGAGCGGCCGCAGAGTGACCACCGGTGAAGCTCAAATATGCCACCGGTGATAGAGTGGCGTTCAGCTCTAGGGTAGACACCTCTCTTGCAGCACTTGGATTCCCGGCCGTCAGCACAACGAAACCGTTCCGCCACGACACGTCTACGCGAACGACTTGTGCGGTTCCGGACCTGGCGAACACGTCCACCGGAACCGGCAACTCAAACCCGTCGCCGGGCGAACCGATCGGATACGCGGTTAGCGACATCCGGAACAAGGTCTGGACCGTTCGGTCCACCGCCGGGTCCCAAGTCTTGAGCTCAAAACTCACGAGGCCGCCACCGTCATCGTCACTATTTGAGGTCGGTATCGAGGTGAAATGTCCGTGTGCAGACGTCCCGCCGCCGTTAATCAACGTCCAGTGGCAAACGCCGTCATCGCAACCGGAAGTATCGCAATAATCCGGAACGATGGCGCCATCCACGGACGAATAACACCACGGACCGCCCGAGTCGCCCGTTGGGTTCCGGCACCGGTTTCCGGCCGCCGACCGGCCACCGTCGGGGAATTTCGAATCAGCTGTGGGTGAGTCCTGCACGTCCGACCACTTGGAACACGGGTAACCGGATTTGGTCACGTTGACGTTACCGCCGTACTCCACTCCCGGACCAGTCATCCGGCACTCTTAATATTTTTATTTATTTTTATAATATTATGTAGGACACATCACATTCAAAACCGTAAATGTACAGTAATACGTGAAAAATTAATTATTATCTTCATAACTTAATTATTATTTTTAAATTCTATTAAATGTTTTTTTTGTGTACGAAACACACTGAAAATTAAACAGTTTGTATTATATTGATATTTCATCTAAACTGCAATTAAATCGTTTAGACCACAAAGATTGAGCTTGCCGTTATGTTTTTATAATAATCTATAAAACATAAAATTATACCATAGCATATTACTTTTTACATAACACAAAGGCACGGCACACATTTCCACAGGACTGTTCTCGTTGTAAGTGTAGCACCAGAGATCATCTCGGGTTCCATTAGGATTGCGGCAAAAATTCTTGGCCAACACCCTTGACCCGTCTGCGAAACTTGAATCAGGCTCGGTCTACGATCAACATCGATTCGTTACCACATTATAATGCCAATTAAATACTAATAAGTAAGTAATAATTAATAAGCATTAAATAACTATAGGTCCTAATTGTTTATATTCTAATTAAATGGGCTTTGGGGTTGGGCAGCAGTCTAATTAAGTAACAATTATAGGTATCAAAAAAACTTAGGTATCCATGTTATATTAGTAATTTGTAACTTAAATTTAAAGTTATCTCATAATGTAGCCTTTTACAATTTTGACTTAAACTTTAAAATATAAAATATAGGTACACGTATAGTTATAATTACCTAATAAGTTACATTATTGTATTATTATTATTATAATCTATAATATAATATTACATTAAAATGGATGTTGGTCTGTCTGTAATTAGTATAAACTTACACAGTTACACTGAACTGATTTCTATAAATGGTACATAAATGAATTCCTTAAGCCCTGGAAGGTGTTTGGACACCCCTCAAACCAAATAAAAAATTCAATCTTTAATTTTGATAAATTTTAAAGGGAATTAGACAAACAAAAATATGTGTTTCTTTAAGAACTATTTTAATATTATATAAAGTCCTACACTAATTCGGAAAGAAAATAAATTTAGTTTTTAATAATGTACTTATTATCCTATTATATTTTTAATTATTTATAAAACTGTTATTCTTATAGCACCATTGATATCGAATGTAACAAACAAAATATTTAGTAATAATTATTAAATTATTGTGACCGATGATGATAACTATGTAGGTACTATAATGTATATTAATATTTTTAAATAATATTATTGTTATTATTATCCTATTACAGTATACATGCAATTTATATTTTTATCTTGCGGCTCCGTGCCATCGTGTGTCTGTGTTATTTGTTTTTCCAGCCGGAATTTGTGTTGTATTTATTTAGATATTAATATATCACAATGATGTTTTTTTTAAATATATTGATACGTTGGATCTTAAATATCCATGTACATTTATTTTAAAACATATTATTTTTTATCAATTGAATTTAAATCATTTTTCATTAAATCGTCGTCGAAGAAACAAGGCAGATAAAATAAACATTGAAATAGTAATAATATTATCATAGTCTTATTCTTGAATTTATTATTTAAACTAATTTATATAATACTTTAAAGTGTATTTATTATTTTCTATTTTCTATTTTAAAAATTATTATTTGCTTTTATTTTTATTTTTAAATTAAAATTATGTTTACAGTATGTATTTTATACATGTACGATTTAAGTTACATAAAAATTACTACTTTTAATTAAATAAATAAAAAATGTTTCATTACAATATTTGAAGAGTATATTATGAACTTAGTGGTAGTATATGTAAAACAGAGAAATATTGCAATCAATTAACAAATAAGTATATACCTATATTATCTGAACACNAAAAAAAAAAGTACAAAATACGCCACTGTAGCTGTGTGATACACTGATACCTAAGTTTTAGGTTTAGCGGCGGCTCAGCAGAATAAAATTAAGAACTAAAAATATTATACGTATGTACTATACATATTACGTATATCGTATTCTTACTCCGATCGAATTCCACTGTCGACACAACGACTTGAACTTAGTGGTAAACACGTTGCCCCGATATTCGATTCCGGAATGGGTCAATTTACATTTTCTGATGTATAGTTTCGATGTGAAACAAGGATCTCCGATTGAAATACAGGACAATGCGATGAAAAACGCTTTTATCGCGTTCATTTCAGTAAACAATTCGGTTGTTTTTACACAATTTCAAAATTCACTTGATATTATTAAAATTGCAAGTCTTCAAAAAAAAAACCCTTGCTAGTTTATAGTCTATAAACGAACGCTACGATGACGACGTCAAATATCGAAATTTATAAGATAAACATGAGTGGCAAATTTCAAGTTTGTAGATTTTTTAACTTTAAAACATCATTCGTTAGGTAGCTCGAATGCCGTTGCCATGTTAAACGTTTTTAATCGCGATACAACTCGAGATGATAATCGAATTTATTTCGACATAGATCTTGAAAAACCGTAAACAACAGGTGTGTAAAATCAGCTCTTGTCGTTCGAAAATTTAAAAAAAAATACCTAACAACGACCTGGCGAACAATAAAATAAATAATAAATACATTGGCAGATATTGCACAAAGTACTATATGTATATATCTAACCAATTCGTTATTGTAAGGGTTCGGTATTTGGATTTGTATTTGAAGGAATTTATTAAAAAGTTCTCGACTTATAATTTAAGGGGACTTTAAAAAAAACATAACGTCAATTTTTTATCCAAATACTCTCATAATATGCCAGAATAAGTTGAACCATTTACCATATAATATGAATATTAAAATAATATAATTCTATGTACTTATATATATTATAATATTGGTATGCACATGATAATAATATGTTGTCGTTACTGCATCAGATAAATTTTAGCTACATAAACATTTTTACGTTTTTTCCTTCCATAAATACGCATTCAATAAAGCTATCATTACACTCAAATAAACAAAACCAATAAAGCTATAGTTAAACCCAAATCCCCGGATTAAATCAAAAATATATTTTCCGCATATTTTTTTAAATATTGTTGTTTTTAATCTAACAAGTCTTTAAAAGATGACCTTTAAAAAAAGCAAATGATTAGTATTTTTAACCGTTTGTTCAATTGGGTGTCACCCTTTTTTTAATGTCTCAGTGCTCTTTATTCCTGTTATTCTTGTTACACTCACGGCATATTACGTTTATTCGTTTCGTGTGTGTTAATCTTAAAACGCGCTAACTTGATACATTTCGTTTACTGCAAACACAAAAAATATTAAATTATTAGAATTAGAATTATTATATGGAGCCATGGAGGTATATGCAAACGTGTTTTTCGAATTTGTTATTTGTTCCATTCAATATCCTCACCACGCCTATCGTTTCCACCAAATCTAAATTATCGATGATTAACCGATGATTACTATATGATATATGATAATCAATAATATTATATAGTATTATTATATTATGAATAATCACTGCGAGTTTATTAATTATTTATTTTCGTTGAAAAACGTTTTTTTACGTGCGGTAAGTCTACGCCGCATCAGTGCAATAACGACTTAGTGTAGCAATTATACGTAGCTATAATATACTCGTATTATTTTATACCCTTATCTACCACCCTAAAAAAAAAATTGAATTACATTATATAATCAAATTATGTTTTACTTCGTATAAAGAGCTAAATATCCAATAAATGATATTATTATGAACCTGGTGCTTATCAGTTATCGAGTACAAATTCATAAGATTTAATGAATTAGTATTATCTTATGTTAATTGTTATATTATAATTATTATTATTTAATGATTATATTTAGTAAAATTACCAATACGATTTAAGATTTTTACAAAGATATGACACACCTGACATAAAGATAAAATTACTAAATGTAGGGTTTCAATTCAAACACAGTTTTAAATATTAGTGTAAATATAATAAATTGATTATATACTATCAGACTATGTGCTCTCTAGTCGATTTTTTTTCAATAAGTGTTGATGTTTAAGCTAATAAACGTATTATTTTAAATATTGTACATTTGTATGATATCTATAAAGATTATACACTGTGCTCAGTAATATTATACCTAACTATAATACATGTCTACATAAATTACTACTTACAGCCCGCTTTACATCTAAAATATCTTAATTCATAACCGCCGAGAGAGCACGGAATAATATTAAATAGTCGTTTTAAAGTTTGATGAAAGTTTAAATTTCATACTTGTGAATTATAACTTTGGGTTTTGAAACGATAAAACGTCTTAGGGTGCATGTTACGCGTGTTTAGAACAGACGTGTGTGATGGCAGATGTGTGATTGAGCGTGTTACGATTGACGAATAAATTATATCTGCCTAAACAATTGTGAGGTAACTGACCAATAGTTTTCAAAGGTGTATACTATCCCAAATAATAGCCGTCTAGAATAGCCTGCCGTCCTCGCAGTAATAGGGCTGGCAGCCGCCTACGCCATATATACCGGCGATGAGGTGACGTGATGAGATTTATCACAAGTATGCGTATACCTATACGCTACCTATATACACCGGCGTCCGCGGTGCGTAAAAAACAAGTGCAATTTTTTATCGTATTACCGCCGGGCCGCGGACACTAAACGTATCCGTTATCCGTCCGTTTATAAAATACTATAACGCGACGGCTGTTATCCCGCTGCAGAAACTCTGCTGGAAACGAGTGCGCACCTCTTGTGCAATAATATATAACTTGCGCGGCGGCGCACGTGGGTCGGTCGTACATAGAACACACCAAAACATGTGTACATATATATATATAAATATATGAACGCGTTTAGGTGCAGTATAAATAATAACATTAATTTAACGGTGTAGGTACGAGAGACGACGATGTGTGCGGACGATAAAGAACGAGAAAGAGACGGTGAGAGAGTGAGCGTGTCGGGCGCGCGCGCGCACGTGTGTGTGTGTGTGTGTGTGTGTGTGTGTGTGTGTGTGTGAGAGAGAG